GTGTTTGGAGGAGGAGGAATGCTGCCTATGACCCCATGAACACCATCCCAACTGTGAAACATGGTGGTGGAAACATTCTGCTTTGGGGGTGTTTTTCTGCTAAGGGGACAGGACAACTGCACCGCATCAAAGGGACGATGGACGGGCAATGTACCCTCAAATCTTGGGTGAGAACCTTCTTCCCTCAGCCAGGACATTGAAAATGGGTGGTGGATGGGTGTTCCAGCATGACAGTGACCCAAAACACACGGCCAAGGCAACAAAGGAGCGGCTCAAGAAGAAGCACATTAAGGTCCTGGAGTGGCCTAGCCAGTCTCCAGACCTTAATCCAATTGAAAATCTGTGGAGGGAGCTGAAAATTCGAGTTGCCAAACATCAGCCACCAAACCTTAATGACTTGGAAAGGATCTGCCAAGAGGAGTGGGCCAAAATCCCTCCTGAGATGTGTGTGAACCTGGGGGCCAACTCCAGGAAACGTCTGATCTCTGTGATTGCCAACAAGGGATTGGCCACCAAGTACTAAGTCATGTTTTGTGAAGGGGATCAAATCCTCATTTCCCTCATAAACATGCAGATCAGTCATCATTTGTTAGACGCATTTCTGCTGAATTTGTTTGTTGTATTCTGTCTCTCAGAGTTACAATACACAGAACATTCGATTTTTAGACCGATCATTTCTGTGTGAGGGGCGAACATTCAACATCAGCCGGGGAGCAAATACTTATTTCCTTCACTGTATATACGGTAGATAACAATAATAATAATTGAGGATTATATAAAAGTTCAGTATTGGTGACAGTCTATGTGGATATAAGGTGCAGATTGGTAATATAATCCAGTGGTGGTGCTCTAAAAGATGTGATAAAAGTACGCACTCACCAGATGCGTAATTTGAGTATGCATTAAATGTAACATCAAGGGTCTCCTTAACGGATAAAGGGGTCTGGTCAGGGGCACCACAATAGTGATGTTATAAGCCCAGCGAAGAGAAAATAAATCCAGGTAGCCGGAGGTCCCTTTAAGGCAGTGGTTCTCAACCTGTGGGTCGCGACCCCTTTGGGGGTCGAACGACCCTTTCACAGGGGTCCCCTAAGACCATCAGAAAACACATATTTCCGATGTGTAAAGAGCAGCTGCTGTGTTGAAAGCAGCTACTGTGTTGAAAGCAGCTACTGTGTTGAAAGCAGCTACTGTGTTGAAAGCAGCTACTGTGTAGAAAGCAGCAGTATTGGAGGTAAAACAACACTTCATGAATTATAATTACTGGGTAAATAATTTTCTGGTTGGGGGTCACCACAACATGAGGAACTGTATTAAAGGGTCTCGGCATTAGGAAGGTTGAGAACCACTGCTTTAAGGGATGAGTAGGTGAGGATGCCTGCTTACAGGGAGTCTCTGGACTCAAAGGATGGATGGATGGATGGCTGGATCAAAAAACAGGCTCTGTAAACAAAATGCTCCTCAAAGGAGACCATGAAGGGTGCCCGTAGTGTAGTATTTGGAAAATAATTTATTATTTGTCAAAAACGAGTGTTTGCAAACATAAGAATCGATAAAATCAGTGTATCAGCGTCAGGATTGAAGAGATAACTAACCCTCCAGAAACTAAGATGGCCGCCGGGCCTCCACGTGGCACCGGCGGTGTGACGTCACGACGTCCTGGGTCCTCCTCATAGACTGCCACCAATACTGAACTTTTATATAATAATCTATTATTATGTACCGTATATATCGCTTTTTATGTGAGATATTTATCATACTATTAATAATTTTAGTGCTGCACTTTTCTATTTTGAGGTTTACGATAAGGTTTTTTATTTTGGTTACCTTGAGTGTTCAGCTGCTGACTGGATAGCGCTCACTTTTACATTTTTCTATTTAATGATGGGGGGGTTGAAAAAAAAAAAAAAAAAGTGAGGCGTTCCTGTATTAAACCCGAGTAGGTCATTGCACCTGGTACTGAACATTGAACCATCCACCAATCCTCAGGAGTCTTCTATTAAATACATAGTCTTGTGTCCCCAGGGGCCACCAATTTCATTGAGACAACCCTGTATTGCAGTGTGAAATCAAGTTCATTGTATGGTGTGGTGTGTAAAGCATCCATTCGGACAGGAGAAAAAAAAAAAAAAAAAAAATCACATTCCAAAGAAGTTAATACATCAGAGTCCCTGAGCCCTCAATCATCAAGGATCTTCTAAAGGAGTAGGTCTGCTTCCTCCTCATTGGCTGGCTGAATGAATCCAGGACTGTCAAGGCAGCTATTGGTGATCCCCTGACACCATGCGGACTGAAAGGCACAACAGAAGGCATCCAGCACCAAAGTCAACCTGAAAGCCGGCACCAAGATGGCAGCTGACAGCAGATATGGCCACCACTCCCACATTGGCATACCACAGTGGCTACTTCCGAAAGGCCATTATGGGAAGCTGTAGTGTCCAGTCAGGCTTTGGTATTTAAAGTGTAACCTGAATCTCATTGAAATCTAAACCTTCTACTTCCAAAAAGGCCATATTGGGAGGCTGCAGTGTCCGCCCAGGCTTTAGTGTTTAACGTGAAACCTGAAATTCATTGAAACCCAAAACCTAGTGAAGAGCTCTTGTGAGAATTCCCACTTCGTGGAGATGAAATCCCATTTTTCGTGGAGAACCGACACACAGTGTCACGTCTTAACGCCAAAAGGGAAGCCATATTATATACGGCCTGGCTCCTACAGGACAGACAGTTTGTTGCAGGCCACGCAGAGGGCCAGCATTAGCAGAGCGTAGAAGAGCAGGAAGCCGTGGTATTGATAGAGCAGCTGCAGGAGAGTAGAACACATCGCTGTCTCCTCGGAGAGGGCGGAGCTTGGGTTGCTCGTGGGCGTATCACTGGAGGCGAGGAGCAGCAGCAAAGAGGAGACCAACCTTTGTACGATGTCCAGGCTCCCGCCTGCCAGGATGTCGGAGGCTGAGCAGAGATCTCGCTAGCGTAGAGACAGGAGGGCGGAGGAGACATAGGCAGGGAGGGAACAGGGTGGTTTTGCAGGGGGAGGGAACAGGGTGGGTTTTGCAGGGGGAGGGAACAGGGTGGGTTTTGCAGGGGGTGGGAACAGGGTGGGTTTTGCAGGGGGTGGGAACAGGGTGGGTTTTGCAGGCGGAGGGAACAGGGTGGGTTTTGCAGGGGAAGGGAACAGGGTGGGTTTTGCAGGGGGAGGGAACAGGGTGGGTTTTGCAGGGGGAGGGAACAGGGTGGGTTTTGCAGGGGGAGGGAACAGGGTGGGTTTTGCAGGGGGAGGAAACAGGGTGGGTTTTGCAGGGGGAGGGAACAGGGTGGGTTTTGCAGGGGAGGGAACAGGGTGGGTTTTGCAGGGGGAGGGAACAGGGTGGGTTTTGCAGGGGGAGGGAACAGGGTGGGTTTTGCAGGGGGAGGGAACAGGGTGGGTTTTGCAGGGGGAGGGAAGCAGGAGAAAAAGAGTCAAACAGGAGTCACAGATGAAAGAGTTGGACAGCCAAAAGGTGAAAGAGATGGGGTAGAGTCGGTAGGAGTTAGCAGTGGAGGTGGTGAAGAGTAAAAAGAAAAGGGGGTAAAATAAAGAAAGAAAAGATAGAGAGGGGGAGGGGCCCAAAGGAACAAGAAAGAACAATGATAGGAAAAGCATTCACAGGCGTTGCCGTCAGGAAAAGCCATCAACAATGGGGTCACCAGTTAGAGCCACCACAAGCAATGAGGTTAGGGTTGAGGTGGGGCATGCACCAGGGGAGGGTGGCATAGACACCACATGCAGATTACACCGTGCATGTCACCGGACAGAGAGATGGAGATGTCATGGGTGAAATATGCCGGAAATAAGGAGAAAGAAAAAAAAATAAAAAATAAAAACACATATGTTATTACAACGAGGCATAAGCAGCACACACATAAGAAATCAGACCAAAACGACACAAATAACGACGACACAAAACCAAAAAAAGATACATAGGACACGCTCAGCACACCTACCTATGTGTTCTATAACCCATCAAATGACTGAGTTCAGGTGTTTTTCCAACTATTTGAATGTTCTTACCCAGTCCTGTGTACAGCAAGCTATATACCAGGGGTCTCCAAACCTTCCAAACAAAGGGCCAGTTTACTGTCCTTCAGGCTTTAGGGGGCCAGGCTGTGACCAGCAAGAAAAGAAAGAAAACGTCCTAGTGTGGGAGCAAACAATGCCCCATCATGGGTGTCAGTGGAACCGTGCCCATTATTGGCGTCAGTGGCAGGAATGATGACCCATTGATGATGTCAGTGGCAGGAATGATGACCCATTGATGATGTCAGTGACAGGAAATATGACCCATTGCTGGTGTCAGTGACAGGCAATATGCCCCATTGTTGGTGTCAGTGACAGGAATTATGCCCCCTTGTTGGTGTCAGTGAGCGGAATAGTGAGTGGAATAATGCCTCAATTAGTGTCAGTGGCAGGACTTCTGCCCCATTGTTGGTGTCAGTGACAGGAATTATGCTCCATTGATGGTGTCAGTGACAGGAATTATGCTCCATTGATGGTGTCAGTGACAGGAACTATGCTCCATTGATGGTGTCAGTGACAGGAATTATGCCCCATTGTTGGTGTCAGTGGCAGTAATTCTGGCCAATTTTTGTTGTCAGTTGGAGGAACTCAGATAAGTCGGAGAAATAGTGCCCCAAGGGCCAGACAAAGCAAGTAAAGGGCCACATACGGCCCCTGAGCCGCAGTTTGGAGACCACTGCTATATACCTTCAAGCCCAATGGCTTTATTGGATGGCTGAAGACAGTATGAATATAGGTTGGAAAACATAGGTGGAACTGTGGGACCAATTAAAGCAACTTGGTAGCCAATGGGGTACTTTTAAGGAGCCAGACAATATATACTGTCCTTTTCAATAACGTGTTGGTGACATCCATGGTGCTACCTGGCCCCTGTGTCCTGTTCTGACCCCGGGGGACCTGTCCAGCCCTATTATTACAGCACAATTATAAATCACGTTGGGTTTACCTCAGGGACGCCCAGCCTCTGGCAAGCCTCCAGGAAGCTGTCCACATTCTTGCGACATTTCACAGGGTTCAGTTTAGGCTGAAAGAGAAGAAGCGGGTGTGAATGGCGGGCGGGAAGACCTCCTTAGTGGGCAGCCAACCAATGCAGTGTCATCGTACCACAGCAGGTGAAGGCACGTGGATGAACAGGATGGAGCGCGGCCGCAGGTGGTTCAGCAGCTGGCACAGGATGACGCCGTTGGCAAGAGACTCACAGAGCGGATCCTGCAAGGTGACGTTGAGGTGGGACTCAATATCCTGCAATAATAAATCATGGACAGAATCAGCAACACAGATGACCACCAACATTGCAACTTGGGAAATGGGTTTGGCTGGTGTTAGTGATTACAAATCAACTGGACTTCTGTCATGGAGAAGACACTGAGGATGATTTATTCAAGTAGCTTCCTCAGTTCGAAGGAATAGGAACAGGAATAGCAACATTCAGATGGTAGGGTGAGAATTTGGTATAAACAACATGGAAGCATGGATCCATCCTGCCTTGTACCAACGGTTCAGACTGGTGGTGTCATGGTGTAGTGGATCCATCCTGTCTTGTACCAACGGTTCAGACTGGTGGTGTCCTGGTGTAGTGGATCCATCCTGCCTTGTATCAACGGTTCAGGCTGGTGGTGGTGTCATGGTGTGGTGGATCCATCCTGCTTTGTATCATTAGTTCAGGCTGGTGGTGTCATGGTGTGGTAGATCCATCCTGCCTTGTATCAATGGTTCAGGCTGGTGGTGTGGTGGTGTCATGGTGTGGTAGATCCATCCTGCCTTGTATCAATGGTTCAGGCTGGTGGTGGTGTCATGGTGTGGTAGATCCATCCTGCCTTGTATCAATGGTTCAGGCTGGTGGTGGTGATGTCATGTCATGTGGGGGATCCATCCTGCCTTGTATCAATGGTTCAGGCTGGTGGTGGTGGTGTCATGGTGTGGGGGGGATCCATCCTGCCTTGTATCAATGGTTCAGGCTGGTGGTGGTGGTGTCATGGTGTGGAGGATCCATTCTGCCTTGTATCAATGGTTCAGGCTGGTGGTGGTGGTGTCATGGTGTGGGGGATCCATCCTGCCTTGTATCAACGGTTCAGGCTGGTGGTGTCATGGTGTGGGAGATCCATCCTGCCTTGTATCAATGGTTCAGGCTGGTGGTGGTGTCATGGTGTGGGGGGGATCCATCCTGCCTTGTATCAATGGTTCAGGCGGGTGGTGGTGGTGTCATGGTATGGTGGATCCATCCTGCCTTGTATCAATGGTTCAGGCTGGTGGTGGTGGTGTCATGGTGTGGGGGATCCATCCTGCCTTGTATCAACGGTTCAGGCTGGTGGTGGTGGTGTCATGGTGTGGTGGATCCATCCTGCCTTGTATCAATGGTTCAGGCGGGTGGTGGTGGTGTCATGGGTGTGGTGGATCCATCCTGCCTTGTATCAACGGTTCAGGCTGGTGGTGGTGGTGTCATGGTGTGGAGGATCCATCCTGCCTTGTATCAATGTTCAGGCTGGTGGTGGTGGTGTCATGGTGTGGAGGATCCATCCTGCCTTGTATCATAAACCGATATGAGACATAAAATAATGGCAATGCCCATCATTTTATGCTCTAGTGTCTTTGCCTAAATAATATATAATGTTTGGGGGGTTCCAAATAAATTTCTAGCAAAAAAAAAAATAAAAATAATTTTTACATGTAGGAGAGAAAAATGTCAGAATTGGCTCGGGAGGCAAGTGGTTAATCTGGGAATATAAGTGGTGGTAGCTGCGACTCTTCAGGGGTAAGTTCATCACTGAAGGACTCTGAATCAGACAATCTCTGCTGAAGATGGCTTGGAAAATAATTTGGGCAAATCAGATTAAGAATCTGTAGGAGAGGGATATACATTTCTCATCACTGTGTGTGGGGGGGGGGGAAGAGGAAACCATACTCAGTGGGGCCAAAGAGGACCCTCAGTAGGTGCACTGCAAGCAGCCCCAGAGCGATCAGCAGAATGTGAGCACAAAAGACTGCTTCCCCAACTAAGGAGGGAAACCAAGAAAGAGCGCAGGGTAAGAATCCTCTAGGTGGGTGGTGTACGGGGATGTGGACTGGGGTCCAACGTACCTTGCGTAGTTGTGCTTGAACTGCATTCTCATCAGACGAGCTCGGGAAGTGTGCGCATCCACACAGGACTGGATCCCTCTCCTGAACTTCAGGTCCGAACCTGCAAGAGATGAGAGGAGAAAATAAGAACTGGGGGGGGGGGGGGAGAGGGAGAAAGAGAGAGAGAAAAAAATAAAGACGGGGGGGGGGGGGGTGAGAAAAGAGAGAGAGAGAAAAATAAAGACTGTGGGGGGGGGGGGGGGGGGCCGGGGGGGGAGAGAGAGGAGAAGAGAAGAGAGATAAAGACTGGGAGAGAGAGGGGGGGGGAGCGAAAAGAAAGACGGGAGAGAGAGATAAAGAGAGAGAAAAAAAAAGACTGGGGAGAGAGAGGGGGGGAAAAGAGCAAAATGAAAAGACTGGGGACGAGAAGGAGAGAGGGAAGGAGAGAAGAAAGGGGGAGAGGGAAAGAAAGAGAGAGAAGAGAGAGAGAGAGAGAGAGAGAGAGAGAGAGAAGAAGAGAGAGTTGAGAGAGAGAGGGGGGGAGCAAAAGAAAGAATAAGAGAAAAGAAAAGGTAGGAAAGAAGAAAGAAGAGAAAAGAAAGAAGAAAGAAGAGAAAGAAAGAAGAGAAAAGGTAGGATAAGAAAAGAAAAACAAAAGAAAGAAAGAAGAAAGGAGAAAAAAGAGAAAAGGAAAGAAGAAAAGGAGAGAAAGAAAGAAGAGAAAAGGTAGGATAGAAAGAAGATGGAAAGAAGAAAATGAGAGAAAAAGAGAAGAATAGAAAAAGAAAGAAGGAAAGGAGAGAAAAAGAAAGAAAGAAAGAGAAAAAAAGAAAGAAGAAAGGAGAGAAAAAAGAGAAAAGAAAGAAAAGGAAAGGAAGAAAGAAAGAAAGAAAAAGAGAAAAGGTAGGAAGAGAAAAGAAAGAGGGAAAGAATGAGAAAGTAAGAAATGAGCGTCCCCTGAAGATCGAAAAAAAAGACGAAAGAGAGAAAGAAAAAGAAAGAAAAGAAAGAAAGAAGAAAGGAGAGAAAGAGAAAAGAAAGAAGAAAGGAGAGAAAGAAAGAAGAGAAAAGAAAGCAAGAAAGGAGAGAAAGAAAGAAGAAAGGAGAGAAAGAAAGAAGAAAGGTGGAGAAAGAAAGAAGATAAAAATTAAGAAGAATTGAGAGAAAAAGAAGCGAAAAGAAAGAAGAAAGGAGAGGAAAGAGAGATAAGAGAAAAAAAAAAGGTAGGAGAGAAAGAAAGAAGAAATGAGAAAAAAGAAGAGAAAAGAAAGAAGAAATGATGAGAAAAGAAAGTAGAAAGGAGGGAAGGGAAGGAAAGGGACAAGTAACACGGATTTATGTGTGGGAAGGGGTAATGGAGTTGGGGGTGATGGAGTTGGGGGAGATCAGTCACCTGAATGGCTGAGCGCAAGCTCCGCGAGAGGATGACCGGCGAAGAGGAAACTCCTGGGTTTCTGGGTGACAGAGGATCTGGAACAGACACACATACTGGTCAGTGACACAAAAGGGTAAATGGTGAGAAGCTGGATGAATCCATAGAAATGGTGAGGAGTACACAGGGGAACACACTTCATGGACATAGAAGCACCCCAGCACTCTGATGTTGCGAGAACTTCTTCCATGTCTTGGGACGAGTACCTGAGGGCTGCGAGGGCGGAGAGATGGGGCTAATCACGTTGGATTGACTTCCCTGCACGGAAAAACAGGACATGATCAGGAAAGCACATTGTGATGGTTGTGGGTCACAGATTATTGTAGTGACTGACTGCCGGCGTACACATGACAGGGCGCAGAGTACACAGCAATATTGCACACAGTTTTTTCATTTTTTTGCACACAGGATAGAACACAGAAGTAAGACTATTTCCTTCAAATCTGGTGGCCAAGACTGATGGCACGAAAGCCCCGCCCCCTCTGCTATCAACTAAGAGAAAAGCAGCTGAAAAAAAAAAAAAGCTTAAAATATCAAAACGGTGCAACATTGGGGAGCCGGGCTCGGGGCGTGTGCTGTGTGCTGCATGCAGGGCGCAGGGGTGTGCTGGTATGGGGCATCAGGTTATAAGGGGGTGCACTAGTTACAGGGTGCAGGGCTCAGGATTGTGCCATATATGGGGGGCAGGCACTGGGCTCAGGCGTGCACTATGCACTGGGTGTAGGACTCAGGGTGTTGTACCACGAACAGGGCTCAGGAGCGCGCTACATACAGGGTTTGCAGGGCTCAGGAGCGGGCTGCATACAGGGTGCAGGGCTCAGGAGCGGGCTGCATACAGGGTGCAGGGCTCAGGAGCGGGCTGCATACAGGGTGCAGGGCTCAGGAGCGGGCTGCATACAGGGTGCAGGGCTCAGGAGCGGGCTGCATACAGGGTGCAGGGCTCAGGAGCGGGCTGCATACAGGGTGCAGGGCTCAGGAGCGGGCTGCATACAGGGTGCAGGGCTCAGGAGCGGGCTGCATACAGGGTGCAGGGCTCAGGAGCGGGCTGCATACAGGGTGCAGGGCTCAGGAGCGGGCTGCATACAGGTGCAGGCTCAGAGCGGGCTGCATACAAGGTGCAGGGCTCAGGAGCGGGCCTGCATACAGGGTGCAGGGCTCAGGAGCGGGCTGCATAAACAGGACGCAGGAGCGTGCTACATACAGAATGCAGGGCGCAGGAGCGCGCTAACATACAGGGTGCAGGCGCAGGAGCGCGCTACATACAGGGTGCAGGCGCAGGAGCGCGCTACATACAGGGTGCAGGGCGCAGGAGCGCGCTACATACAGGGTGCAGGGCGCAGGAGCGCGCTACATACAGGGTGCAGGCGCAGGACGCCCTGAATACAGGGTGCAGGGCGCAGGAGCGCGCTACATACAGGGTGCAGGCATAGGAGCGCCCTGAATACAGGGTGCAGGGCTCAGGAGCGCCCTGAAACAGGGTGCAGGCTCAGGAGCGCCCTGAATACAGGTGTGCAGGGCTCAGGAGCGCGCTACATACAGGGTGCAGGGCTCAGGAGCGCGCTACAACAGATGACTGCCATAACCGATAACACAACTGGGCACGGATGGGGAAAGGTTTTCATTTCTCTGGCCTCTCGGCAGACACGGCTGTAGAATGAATAGATTACCTGACTCCGTAGTCTGGCGCAGTTCTCAGAGGAGCCGCTGGGGGAGAAGAGAAGCAGGAATGACATTTAACATGTGCTTTTAACCACCCCCTCCCCCCCCCCGAAGCCCCAGGACACTGATTCTGATATTCCTCTCATACATGTCAAAATCAGCATGTTTTCTTCCAGAAAATGACCCGGAACCCCAAACATTAATATATTTTTTTAGGAAGAGGCCCTAGAGAATAAATTGGTGGGTGGTGCAATTTGTTTTTATAACATGATATTTGCATAGCAATCTTTCAAACACTTTTTTGGGGGAAAAGATACACTTTAATGAATTTAAATGCATAAAAACATAAAATAATCCCCAATTGTTTGGTAAAACGATAAGAGATGATGTTATGGCGAGTAAATAGATACCCAACATGTCATGCTTTAAAACTTTGCACGCTGGTAGAATAAAGAGACTACGGCACTTACAAATCTCCACAGGCGACCCTTTAAAAGCCTTTACGGGTTACCCTTATGGCCAGACACTACAGGCATGCTACAAGAGATGGTCAGAGACTGCAGACATGCTACAAGAGATGGTCAGAGACTGCAGACATGCTACAAGAGATGGTCAGAGACTACAGACATGCTACAAGAGATGGTCAGAGACTGCAGACATGCTACAAGAGATGGTCAGAGACTACAGGCATGCTACAAGAGATGGTCAGAGACTACAGACATGCTACAAGAGATGGTCAGAGACTACAGGCATGCTACAAGAGATGGTCAGAGACTACAGACATGCTACAAGAGATGGTCAGAGACTGCAGACATGCTACAAGAGATGGTCAGAGACTGCAGACATGCTACAAGAGATGGTTAGAGACTGCAGGCATGCTACAAGAGATGGTCAGAGACTGCAGGCATGCTACAAGAGATGGTCAGAGACTACAGACATTCTACAAGAGATGGTTAGAGACTGCAGGCATGCTACAAGAGATGGTCAGAGACTGCAGGCATGCTACAAGAGATGGTCAGAGACTGCAGGCATGCTACAAGAGATGGTCAGAGACTGCAGGCATGCTACAAGAGATGGTCAGAGACTACAGACATGCTACAAGAGATGGTCAGAGACTGCAGGCATGCTACAAGAGATGGTCAGAGACTGCAGGCATGCTACAAGAGATGGTCAGAGACTGCAGGCATGCTACAAGAGATGGTTTAGAGACTGCAGATATAATACAAGATTTGGCCAGACACGCTACTTCTTGCATCATGTCCACAGTCTCTGACCATCTCTTGTAGCATGCCTGCAGTCTCTGACCATCTCTTGTAGCATGCCTGTAGTGTCTGACCATCTCTTGCAGCATGCCCGCAGTCTCTGACCATCTCTTGCAACATGCCCGCAGTCTCTGACCATCTCTTGCAACATGCCCGCAGTCTCTGACCATCTCTTGCAACATGCCCGCAGTCTCTGACCCTCTCTTGCAACATGCCTGCAGTCTCTGACCATCTCCTGTATCATGCCTGCAGTCTCTGACCATCTCCTGTATCATGCCTGCAGTCTCTGACCATCTCCTGTATCATGCCTGCAGTCTCTGACCATCTCTTGTATCATGTCTGCAGTCTCTGACCATCTCTTGTATCGTGTCCACAGTCTCTGACTAGCACTGGTAACATGCCTGCAGTCTCTGACTTCTTCTTGTAGCCTTCAGCCTTCTCCTGTTGCATGTCTCCAGTCTCTGACCATCTCTTGTATCGTGTCCACAGTCTCTGACCATCTCTTGTATCGTGGTCCACAGTCTCTGACCATCTCTTGTATCGTGTCCACAGTCTCTGACCGTCTCCTGTATCATGTCTGCAGTCTCTGACCATCTCTTGTATCGTGTCCGCAGTCTCTGACCGTCTCCTGTGTCATGTCTGCAGTCTCTGACCACATTCCTGTATCATGTCTGCAGTCTCTGACCATCTCCTGTATCATGTCTGCAGTCTCTGACCATCTCCTGTATCATGTCTGCAGTCTCTGACCATCTCTTGTATCATGCCTGCAGTCTCTGACCATCTCTTGTATCATGCCTGCAGTCTCTGACCATCTCCTGTATCATGTCTGCAGTCTCTGACAATCTCTTGCATCATGTCTGCAGTCTCTGACCATCTCTTGTATCATGTCTGCAGTCTCTGACCATCTCTTGTATCGTGTCTGCAGTCTCTGACCATCTCTTGTATCATGTCTGCAGTCTCTGACCATCTCTTGTATCATGTCTGCAGTCTCTGACCATCTCTTGTATCATGTCTGCAGTCTCATGACCATCTCTTGTATCATGTCTGCAGTCTCTGACTGGTCTCTTGTATCGTGTCTGCAGTCTCTGACCATCTCTCTTGTATCGTGTCCGCAGTCTCTGACTAGCACTGGGAACATGCCTGCAGTCTCTGACCATCTCTTGTATCGTGTACACAGTCTCTGACACTACTCTCTTGTAGCCTTCAGCCTTCTCCTGTTGCATGTCTCCAGGCTCCTCTCACTGGATATTATGAGGGACCCATTTGTGATGTGACACTTACGCCCCCTCCCATCATGAAAGCTGACCCCCACTGATGTTAGAGACCCCTCTTCCCACTGAGGGACATTCCCCCTTCCCCTCTCTGGACAGGAAGTGATGGGAAATCTCTCCAATGAGGAAGGGTTACACCCTAGACCAGGCTTTTATTGCCACCTGGGCCCCCCCCCCCGGGGAATCCCCCCCCCTGTGCAGGGAACAGGAAGTGAACAATTCCCCAATGGGGACACAGACAGAAATAAAACCAATTGCCTGACCCTGAACAGGCGTTACCTCCTGGCCATCTTTCCAGTGGTGTTGTATAAGCTCCCTAGGATCCAGTATAGGGTGGTGCTCAGACAGTCCACATTTGCACACAATCACCCCTTCTGCTACACACAGTCCTACCTCACTTCATGCTTCACTCTGGCTCTGGGGGGCTGGAGCAGTGGCTGGAGGACCCGGCTTTGTACAAGCTCCCCATTCAAAAACACAAAGCTACAGTCAGAATGGATCACCCGAGGTGTGCCCACCCATCCCGGACAATGACAGACGCACCTCCCGGGACCCCCACCTCTCCCTCTGATCCCCAGACGGCCTCCGCAGACTCTCTCCTGCTAGTCTGCTGATAGCTGCTGGGAATCTCTCCCGTTCCCCCATCCATAGGAGCAGCGGTCTCCGGGCCTCCGCCTCTCCTCTGTGACCCGATCCTGACGGGGGGAGATGCTGGGAGCTGGGGAGGACGATGGAGCCGGTACCAATACAAGGCCTGAAACAATGGATGCATCCGGGTCACCGGGAGAAATGCATGACAGTACAGTAAGCAATCAGCAGTCCACCCGCTTACATTGGTGCCTTCCCTGGTCCCCCCCCATTTATCTGCTTACATTGTGCCTTCCCTGGTACCCATAGCCCCATTACTCTCTGCTTACATTGTGCCGTCCCTGGTCCCCCCCCCTTATCTGCTTACATTGTGCCTTCCCTGGTCCCCCCCCTTATCTGCTTTACATTGTGCCTTCCCTGGTACCCCCCCCCCTTATCTGCTTACATTGTGCCGTCCCTGGTCCCTGGTCCCCCCCCCCCCCTTATCTGCTTACATTGTGCCTTCCCTGGTCCCCCCCCCCCCCCCCCCCCCCTTATCTGCTTACATTGTGCCTTCCCTGGTCCCCCCCCCCCCCCCCCCCTTTTCCCTATCTGCTTCCATTGTGCCGTCCCTGGTCCCCCCCCCCCCCCCCTTATCTGCTTACATTGTGCCTTCCCCTGGTACGCCCCCCCCTTATCTGCTTACATTGTGCCGTTCCCTGGTCCCCCCCCCCCCCCCTTATCTGCTTACATTGTGCCGTCCCCCCCCCCCCCTGGTCCCCCCCCCCTTATCTGCTTACATTGTGCCTTCCCCCCTGGTCCCCCCCCCCCCCCCCCCACCCTTATCTGCTTATGTTTGTGCCTTCCCTGGTCCCCCCCCCCCCCCCCCCCCGGATCTGCTTATGTTGTGCCTTCCCCCTGGTCCCCCCCCTTATTGCTGCCTACATTGGGTGCCCCCCCTCCCTGCGTCCCCCCCCCCCCCCAATTATCTGCTTATATTGTGCCTTTCCTGGTCCCCCCCCCCCCCCCCCCCCCCCCCCCCCTTATCTGCTTATATTGTGGCCTTCCCTGGTTCCCCCCCCCCCCCCCCCCCCCCCATCTGCTTAGCATTGTGCCTTCCCTGGTCCCCCGCCCCCCCCCCCCCCCCCCCCCCTTATCTGCTTATATTGTGCCTTCCCTGGTCTCCCCCCCCCCCCCCCACCATTATCTGCTTATATTGTGCCTTCCCTGGTCCCCCCCTTATCTGCTTATATTGTGCCCTCCCAAGTACCCCCCCCTTATCTGCTTATATTGTGACTTCCCTGGTTCCCCCCCCCTTATCTGCTTATATTGTGCCCTCCCTGGTTCCCCCCCCACCCTTATCTGCTTATATTGTGACTTCCCTGGTTCCCCCCCCCTTATCTGCTTATATTGTGCCTTCCCTGGTTCCCCCCCCACCCTTATCTGCTTATATTGTGACTTCCCTGGTTCCCCCCCCACCCTTATCTGCTTATATTGTGACTTCCCTGGTTCCCCCCCCCCCTTATCTGCTTATATTGTGACTTCCCTGGTTCCCCCCCCCCCTATCTGCTTATTTTTGTGACTTCCCTGGTTCCCCCTCCCCTTATCTGCTTATATTGTGCCCTCCCAGGTACCCCCCCTTATCTGCTTATATTGTGCCTTCCCTGGTTCCCCCCCCCACCCTTATCTGCTTATATTGTGCCTTCCCTGGTTCCCCCCCCCCACCCTTATCTGCTTATATTGTGACTTCCCTGGCTCCCCCCCCCCCCCCTTATCTGCTTATATTGTGACTTCCCTGGTTCCCCCCCCCCTTATCTGCTTATATTGTGACTTCCCTGGTTCCCCCCCCCCCCCTTATCTGCTTATATTGTGCCTTCCCTGGTCCCCCCTCACCCTCACCAACATGCCAATGACATTTATAAATAAAATCTTTCCATTTTCATTATAGAATATATATATATATATATATAAAATATATTATAGGACCATTGATGTCATCGGTCAGTCTCTGGGCTTCTATATGCAATGCAGGCAGATGATGGCTGGTGGGAGGGTGCTGCAGTACTCCTCTCAAGAGCCCTCAGCCTTGTGGGCTGGCTTTTGGGAGGAGTTTTGCAAATTTTAATAACAATAAATAAGAAAATTGGCGCTGGAGAGAAAAAGAGCTAAAAAGTCCAAAATTGTAGAAAAATAGTCCGTAAAAAGGCATGTAGGATGAACTAAAAGACAAAACGGACTGTGCAGTGTTCCAATGAGGAGTATAATGGGCTGGTGGATGTGTTAGATTTGCCAGCCCCTTCCTTTCCTGGATGGACACATTGAGTGATTGGTGGCGGTCAATCACTGTGTTCATTCATGACTGAACTGAGCTTCCCCCATCCTCTGGAAATCTCTACCCCAATCTATCAGACTATTGCCTACTCTGCTCACTTTTAGACGATCTATGAAAACCGATCTCTTCAGAGAAGCCTATCCTGCCCTCAGCTAATAATGGAATCTTCTATTCCTCCTACCAGTCCATCCCCCACAGTTACTACCTTTTGTACCACTAGCCCCTCCCTCCTAGATTGTAAGCTCCCAGGATCAGCCCCTCCCTCTTAGATTGTAAGCTCCCAGGATCAGGGCCCTCCTATCCCTCTTGTATTGAACTGTATTGTCTCCCGTTATATTGTACAGCGCTGAGCAAACTGTTGGCGCCATAAATCCTGTATAATAATAATAATGTAGTCAGCGGCATCAGGAGGCAGCACCCTTAGAGTAAAGCTGAACTCTGTACATGGAGAAGAACAGGAGAGAGGGGCGCCAAACTAAGTGCAGTACTGAAAAGATGTCGTACTTCACAGGTCCCGGAGGCCGGTGGAGAGGGAAGAAAACATGTCGGAGCCAAGGCTGCTGTGAGAACCTGGTTGCGTCCAGCTGCTGCGGTGGAAACCAAACTGGAACGCAGATGGCTACCGGGCGGACGTGACGTCACAACGTGAGCGTGGTGCCGCAAGAGGGGGCGTAACGCTTTTCGAAGAGTCAGCTTCTTCGTCAAACCTCTGCCCTCTCCACCGGCCTCCGGGACCTTTTGAAGGATGACGTCTCTCCTGAGATACAAGCCTTTATTCTGTTGCTGTCTAGTGAGTTACTTCAATTACATTGCTTAATATATTTTCAATACTGCACTTAGTTTGGCGCCCCTCCCTTCTTTTCTCATGCAAATTCTAATAGGCTTTGATGGGTGGTTATCCTAAGCAGGCTCTATTTTCATGCAGACCACCCTAGGCAACGCCCGCATGTGATCCAGAACCTCCGTGACTGAAAGACGTAGAATCCTGGATGGCGCAGAGAGGGCTGACCTGTGACACCTTTGGGTTGGGTGAAGCTCAGCATCACTGAAATCAGTACAAGGTGGACAGAGTGAAGCGGGCAGTCATGTTCAAGGAACCCCTTAAGGGTAGTAAGGGCGTGCCCGACATCGCCACCCAACTGAGGGTGTTCTTTGCCTGCAACTGCATCCGCAGGACTTTAAGGAAAAGAAATACGGATTCTGGCGGAAACACAATGTCACGCTTCTTTCTTTTGCCTCTCTGGAGGTCCCTCGGATGGGACAATTGGGACAGTTCCATCCCCTACAACTGGGACACTCCTTGGTACTACCTGGATACCTTCAAGTTTATCAGGGAGCAGGGGCTGCAGGGAGTCAAGCCTGACTTGTGGAAACCGAAGACCATCTACAAGCTCATCAGAGCAAGTGACATTTTGGAGTCGGTTCCAGGCCTGCCTTCAGATACCTGCAAGGTGGTCTGGAGGAACGTTTCTTAAAAGAGCCTCACCAACAGGCACAAGGACCTGGCATGGATGGCAATCCAAGGGGGGGTTGCCTCTCAGGACATTTATGCATGCCAGGAACCTGAGCAGATACAGGCACTACCCCTTCTGCATCATCCACGAGGAAACGGCTCAGCGCGTTTTCTGGGAGTGCTCTTTTGCTCAGGACCTGTTGAGGGCCCTGGAACCCAAACTCAAGGACTTTGTACCACAGACAGCCATCACTCACTTTGGGGTGTTGAACGGACTTTTCTGTGGAACTTTTACCCTGGAGAACATTGACAGCGCCTGACGGGTACTGTGTTGTTTTAAGGATGCTTTGTGGTGCGTCAGGAAGCACCTCATCCACCAGCGGGAGAGGATGTCCACTGAGGACTGCCGCAGACTGATCAGGGACTATAACTTGATGGACTTGAAGGAGGAAGAGGACGTCTGGGACTGCCGCAGACTGATCAGGGACTATAACTTGATGGACTTGAAGGAGGAAGAGGACGTCTGGGACTGCCGCAGACTGATCAGGGACTAGAACTTGATGGACTTGAAGGAGGAAGAGGACGTCTGGGACTGCCGCAGACTGATCAGGGACTATAACTTGATGGACTTGAAGGAGGAAGAGGACGTCTGGGACTGCCGCAGACTGATCAGGGACTATAACTTGATGGACTTGAAGGAGGAAGAGGACGTCTGGGACTGCCGCAGACTGATCAGGGACTAGAACTTGATGGACTTGAAGGAGGAAGAGGACGTCTGGGACTGCCGCAGACTGATCAGGGACTATAACTTGATGGACTTGAAGGAGGAAGAGGACGTCTGGGACTGCCGCAGACTGATCAGGGACTATAACTTGATGGACTTGAAGGAGGAAGAGGACGTCTGGGACTGCCGCAGACTGATCAGGGACTATAACTTGATGGACTTGAAGGAGGAAGAGGACGTCTGGGACTGCCGCAGACTGATCAGGGACTATAACTTGATGGACTTGAAGGAGGAAGAGGACGTCTGGGACTGCCGCAGACTGATCAGGGGGACTATAACTTGATGGACTTGAAGGAGGAAGAGGACGTCTGGGACTGCCGCAGACTGATCAGGGACTATAACTTGATGGACTTGAAGGAGGAAGAGGACGTCTGGGACTGCCGCAGACTGATCAGGGACTATAACTTGATGGACTTGGAGGAAGAGGACGTCTGGGACTGCCGCAGACTGATCAGGGACTATAACTTGATGGACTTGAAGGAGGAAGAGGACGTCTGGGACTGCCGCAGACTGATCAGGGACTATAACTTGATGGACTTGAAGGAGGAAGAGGACGTCTGGGACTGCCGCAGACTGATCAGGGACTATAACTTGATGGACTTGAAGGAGGAAGAGGACGTCTGGGACTGCCGCAGACTGATCAGGGACTAGAACTTGATGGACTTGAAGGAGGAAGAGGACGTCTGGGACTGCCGCAGACTGATCAGGGACTAGAACTTGATGGACTTGAAGGAGGAAGAGGACGTCTGGGACTGCCGCAGACTGATCAGGGACTATAACTTGATGGACTTGAAGGAGGAAGAGGACGTCTGCAGATCTCCCCTTCCCCCTACTCCCCTCGCGTGTCTTTGCCCCTTCAATAAAGCTTCGGGCCTGTGACCCCTTTTCCCCTCTTTCTCCCCCCTCCCACACACCCGATGCTTGTTGGAATTGTACTAGTTTGAGCCTGATTTTGTAATTATGGGAAATGTTTTCTATGCATGCTATGGTATTATGCGGTGGCGCCCCTGGGGGGTAACCTAGGGGGCCACAAACAGTCTCGGGGTAAGCGGCGTTATGCATGACGTGATGGTCTGGGGATTCGTCCGCCATGCACATCACGTCAGACATCATACCGCTGAGCGAATGTATTTATTGTATGCCTGGAACTATATTGCAGTGAGGTGTATTATGTGTCGCAGTATAGGGTGAGATGTGCCCCAATCACAAGTATCGGGTCTTTTTTATACTTCTGTAAATAAAGTATATTTTTCAAATTAAAAAAAAATCACTGAAATGAGTAGAGGCCTCAGGGCCTAGCCAGTGAACAATTGCACAGCCAATTTTTTATTTTTAATTATTTAATTTATTTTTCTCTCCCATTTTGTTTCACTTTTCACCTATGTGTGTTTTTTTTTAGGGTGTGGGCCCTCCGGCCTACCCTGAAGTCTAGGGGGAGGATGTGTGACCTTTTGGTTCCTTCCTCCCCTGTCCCTGGAAGGGGGGGGGGGTCTCTCTTCTGGAGAGCCCCCTGACCTAGTATTTGGTGGCTGGCTTCGGCTAGTAAAGGGGTCCGCCAGGCCTTTTGGGTAGGCGGACTATGTGGAAACCTTAGTCCCTGTCAGGAGCCTCGCACCCCGGGGGATCAGGGTAGAGGTCCTACCCCTTCAGGGGTAGATTAAAGCACACCCCTTTTTTGTGTTGGTTTTGCACTAGCACGTTTTTGTTCACTTACAGGTTTTTGTTTTTTCGCACTTCCACGGAAAAAAAAAAAAAAAAATCACTGAATTCAGAACCTTTGTCCCTGTCAGGAGCCTTGCGCTCCGGGGGATCAGGGTAGAGGTCGTACCCTTTTGGGGGCTGGACTAAAGCACGCCCCTAAGTGCACTTTTTTGGGTTTGTGTTTAGCACTTGCACATTTTTTGTCCACTTACGGGTTTTTGTTTTTTTTTGCACCTCTGTGGACAAAAAAAAAAAAAAAAATCACTGAAAATCAGAACACTGAGGACATCTTCCTGTCGGGGACGGTATTGCAGCCTGAGCCCAACTGAACCTGCACTTTACAATCAGCAGAAAACTTTCCGGGGACAGCAAAACAAAAAGGCTTTCATGTGTTGGTCTTTACTTTTTAAAAAATCAACCTGGGTAGAAAAGGCAGAAAGCTTTAGAGAGTGACCTTTGCCCTCTGTGTGGAAGCAGCGGTCTCTCTGCAGAGGTCCGACCCCACCCACCGAGTCAGAGATGTACCACTAATATTAGCGATCCTCGAGCTTTCCTGCTAAATGGGGAGACCTGGCTGTGACTCGGCAGGCCGCGTGTCATGATCTGTGAGGAATCAGTGGTCTCTCAGTGGTCTGAGTCCTTCCATGCAGCATGCTGGCAGGTGACAGGCCTCTCTACTCTGTGGGCTGTGGCTGCTGGTTAACGGAACCCATTGCCTTTTATGAATAGGTTGTAACAGCTTCTGTCAACAGCGGAGGAACCAGCTGAAAGGCCCAGAAGGTGGGCAACATGATCAGGTAGGACGACCCTTCAAGGGTCCCAACACTTACCCACCAACCAGGGTCCTGTCCTCTGCCCTTGGCGTAGAGTGCAAGTCTGGCTTCCCCGCTTGTCCTTCAAATAAACAACGAGACCGAAACTTAACACAGCGAAGTACAGAGATCACTGAGCCAATCACATCAGTCTCTGTACCACAGGAGCTTACGCTCTAATGTCCCCCCCCCCACAGTCCCATCAGTCTCTGTACCAGAGGAGCTTACACTCTAATGTCCCCTCCCCCCAGTCCCATCAGTCTCTGTACCAGAGGAGCTTACACTCTAATGTCCCCTCCCCCACAGTCACATCAGTCTCTGTACCACAGGAGCTTACGCTCTAATGTCCCCTCCCCCACAGTCACATCAGTCTCTGTACCAGAGGAGCTTACACTCTAATGTCCCCTCCCCCACAGTCACATCAGTCTCTGTACCAGAGGAGCTTACACTCTAATGTCCCCTCCCCCACAGTCACATCAGTCTCTGTACCAGAGGAGCTTACACTCTAATGTCCCCTCCCCCACAGTCACATCAGTCTCTGTACCAGAGGAGCTTACACTCTAATGTCCCCTCCCCCACAGCCACATCAATCTCTGTACCAGAGGAGCTTACGCTCTAATGTCTCCTCCCCCACAGTCACACATCAGTCTCTGTACCAGAGGAGCTTACGCTCTAATGTCCCCTCCCCCACAGTCACATCAGTCTCTGTACCAGAGGAGCTTACACTCTAATGCCCCCCCCCCCCCCCCACAGTCACACACTATTATTATACATATACAATGAAGGAAATGCGTATTTGCTCCCCTGCTGATGTTGAATGTTCGCCCCTCACACAGAAATGATCGGTCTAACAATGGAATGTTCGCCCCTCACACAGAAATGATCGGTCTAACAATGGAATGTTCGCCCCTCACACAGAAATGATCGGTCTAACAATGGAATGTTCGCCCCTCACACAGAAATGATCGGTCTAACAATGGAATGTTTGCCCCTCACACAGAAACGATCGGTCTAACAATGGAATGTTCGGTGTAACACTGAGAGACAGAATACAACAACAAATTCAGCAGAAATGCGTCTAACAAATGATGACGGATCTGCATGTTCATGAGGGAAAGAAGGATTTGATCCCCTATCATTCAGCAGGATTTCTGGCTCCCAGGTGTCTTTCATACAGGGAACAAGCTGAGATTAGAAGCAGTCTCTTAAAGGGAGTGCTGCTAATCTCATTGTGTTACCTGTATAAAAGACACCTGTCCACAGGAGCAATAAAACCATCAGATTCAAACTTTCCACCATGGCAAAGACCAAAGAGCTGTCCAAGGATGTCAGGGACAAGATGGTAGACCTACACAAGGCTGGACTGGGCTACCAAACTATGGCCAAGCAGCTTGGTGAGAAGGTGACAACAGTCGGTGCAATCATTCACAAATGGAAGAAACACAAAACAAGTGTCAGTCAGTCTCCCTAGGTCTGGTGCACCATGCAAGATCTCACCTCGTGGAGTGTCAATGATCATGAGAACAGTGAGGAATCATCCCAGAACTACACGTGAGGATCTTGTCAATGATCTCCAGGCAGCTGGGACCACAGTCACCAAGAAAACAATTGGTAACACACTACGCCGACAAGGACTGAAATCCTGCAGTGCCCGCAAGGTCCCTCTGCTCAAGAAAGCCCATGTCCAGGCCCGTCTGAAGTCTGCCACTGAACATCTGAATGATGCAGAAGAGGACTGGTGGGAAGTGTTGTGGTCAGAGGAGACCAAAATCCAGCTCTTTGGCATCAACTCAACTCGCCGTGTTTGGAGGAGGAGGAATGCTGCCTATGACCCCAAGAACACCATCCCAACTGTGAAACATGGTGGTGGAAACATTCTGCTTGGGGGTGTATTTCTGCTAAGGGAACAGGACAATTGCACCGCATCAAAGGGACGATGGACGGGGCAATGTACCATCAAATCTTGGGTGAGAACCTTCTTCCCTCAGCCAGGGCATTGAAAATGGGTGGTGGATGGGTGTTCCAGCATGACAATGACCCAAAAACACACGGCCAAGGCAACAAAGGAGCGGCTCAAGAAGAAGCACATTAAGGTCCTGGAGTGGCCTAGCCAGTCTCCACACCTTAATCCGACTGAAAATCTGTGGAGGGAGCTGAAAGTTCGAGTTGCCAAATCTCAGCCACCAAACCTTAATGACTTAGAAAGGATCTGCCAAGAGTAGTGGGCCAAAATCCCTCCTGAGATGTGTGCGAACCTGGGGGCCAACTCCAGGAAACGTCTGACCTCTGTGATTGCCAACAAGGGATTTGCCACCAATTAAGTCATGTTTTGTGAAGGGGATCAAATCCTTCTTTCCCTCATGAACATGCAGGTCAGCATTTCTGCTGAATTTGTTGTTGTATTCTGTCTCTCAGTGTTACACCGAACATTCCATTGTTAGACCGATCATTTTGGAGAGTCTCCAGCACCTTCCACACATCACAGTATTGGGGGGTGGGGGGTGGGAGTCTCCAGCACCTTCCACACATCACAGTATTGGGGGGGGGGGGAGAGTTTTTGGCACCTCCCACACATCACAGTATTGGGGTGGGGGGGGGTGGGAAGTCTCCAGCATCTTCCACACATCACAGTATTGGGGGGGGAGTTTCCGGCACCTTCCACACAGCACATTATTGGGGGGGGGTATTGGAGAGTTTCCGGCACCTTCCACACAGCACAGTATTGGGTTGGGTTGGGGTGGGGTGGGGGGAGTCTCCAGCACCTTCCACACATCACCGTATTGGGGGGGGGGGGGGGAAGAGTTTCCGGCACCTTCCACACATCACAGTATTAGAGTGGGGAGTCTCCAGAACCTTCCACACATCACAGTATTGGGGTGGAGAGTTTCCGGCACCTTCCACACAGCACATTAAGGGGGGGGGGGGGTATTGGAGAGTTTCCAGCACCTTCCACACATCACAGTATTGGGGGGGGGGGGTTTCCGGCACCTTCCACACAGCACAGTATTGGGGGGGGGGGGGGTATTGGAGAGTTTCCGGCACCTTCCACACAGCACAGTATTGGGGGGGTGTATTCCTCACCTGGGGGGTGACAGTCATATGCAGCCCGGTGTCAGACTTGGCCTCCTCCTCTTCCTCGTTGGTACTGCTGTCTATGAAGTCCGGGTGCTCGTTATCTGCGTCTGGCGGGAGGAACAACCAGATATCAGATATTTGAAGGAAAGGAACCCCCCCCCCCCCCCCCCATAAAACTGGAGCCTTTCATTTCATTACAGCGAAGGACAGACAAGAAAAGTCAAACTCCAATTTGCTCCGTTTTTGTACTTGCATCCCCCATGCATCTGAACCAAAACTTAAAGCGGAACTCCAGGATTCTCTGAAAGCCCCCTAAAAATGTACACCCCGCCCAGTTTTGCGGAAATCTAGAGCTTACTATTCCATGATGTCATTATTTCAAGTAACACAACGTAGGAATATCCAGGGGTGCTGGGCGGAGGAGGAGGAGGTGTCCATCACATCCTGCGCTCATCCCCAAGCACCTCTATGAACCACAAGTCCCATGATGCTTTGGGATGTTAGATATGGCGGTGGGCGGGATTGCGGGTGGGGAAGTTAGGTCATTTGCATGACGCTCAGTTAAATCATGCAAGAACAGATGGGCAGAACAGACGGAGTGTGATGACAACTGATGCAGCATGGATGGGCGGGGCAGCACCGGGAACCGCCCATTACAGACAGCGGTGACGCAATATAGGAACAGTACACTTAGGGGACGTTATAGGACCCGTGGCCCCTATCAAGAAGGGTACAGAGTGGCCCCGGTCGTAGCAAATGGGACCTTTAGGGCAACCGATTGAAGGGCATTTTTACCGCTAGCGCTTGAAGGGCGTTTTTACCGCCCCAAACCGCTCTCCCTTTAGCTGCAGAGTCAATGGCGGGGGGGGGGAGGGGGAAACGTGCTGCATTTTTTCAGCACAGAACTGTACTGGAACGCGGTAAAACGCACTGGAACACACATGACCCTATTTAAATTGAAGAAAAAGAGATGGGGAAAAATGAACTGGAATGCATAAAAAAAAAGCACTGGAACGCGTAACAAACGCATCAAAAATGGGTATGCAAAGACGTTTCTAGAATGTGAACCGGCCCTTAATGAGAGAGGGAGAACCTCCCTAACAGGGGCACAGACAGCAATAAAATCCTAACAAGTGTTCTACTCCACCAGCTGCAGGGGAGAGGAGGGAGCGCTAATGACAGCTGGGAAATAGGAGCCTATGGGTGACATCACCACTCCTGGAAGTCCCAGCTGTTGTTGAGCACTCTCTCCTCTCCCCTGCAGCTGCCGCTCACTGAGGACCCGTTCGCATTAGGAGACTTAGAATCTCCACAATTTAAAATCACCAGATGTGAATGGGGCCTCAGTGAGCGGCGGCTACAGGGGAGAGGAGGGAGCGCTGATTATGGCTGGGAAATAGGAGCTTATGGGTGACGTCACCATACCTGGAATTCCTAGCTGAGCACGATCTCCTCTCCCCTGCAGCCACAGCTCACTGAGGCCCCATTCACATTAGGAGATGTGGAATTGTGGCGATTGAGGCGCCTAATGTGAACGGGCCTCAGTGAGCGGAAGCTGCAGGGGAGAGAAGAGAGTGCTCAACAACAGCTATGAATTCCAGAAGCAGTGATGCCACCCATAGGCTCCTATCTCCCAGTTTTCATTGGAGCTCCCTCCCATTCCCTGCAGCTGCTGCTCTCAGAGGACCTCAGTGAGCGGAGGCTGCACAGGAAAGGAAAGAGCGCTCAACAGCTGGGAATTCTGAGGAGTGGTGATGTCACCCACAAGCTCCTATTTCCAAGCCATAATCGGCGCTCCCTCCTCTCCCCTGCAGCCGCCGCTCAGAGGCCCCGTTTACATCTGGCAATTTGGAATAGTAGGCAGAACTGTGACGGTTCTAAATCGCCTAATGTGAACGGGGCTTCAGTGAGCGGTGGCTGCAGGGGAGAGGAGATAGTGCTCAACAACAGCTGGGAATTCCAGAAGCAGTGATGCCGCCCATAGGCTTCTATCTCCCAGCTCTCATCGGAGCTCCCCTCCCCTTCCCTGCAGCTGCCATTCTCAGAGGGCCAGAGTGAGCGGCGGCTGCACAGGAAAGGAGAGTGCTCAACAGCTGGGAATTTTTAGGAGGTGATGTCACCCATAAGCTCCTATTTCCCAGCCATAGTTGGCGCTCCTTCCTCTCCCCTGCAGCCGCAGTTCAGTGAAGCCCCAATTCACATCTGGTGATTTGGAATTACGGGCCGAATTGTGACTATTCTAAATCACCAGATGTGAATGGGGCCTCAGTGAGCGGCAGCTGCAGTTGAGAAAAGAGTGCGCGCAACAGCTGGGAATTCCAGGAGAGGTGACGTCATCCATACGCTCATATCCCCCAGCTGTCATCGGCGCTCCTTCCCCTTCCCAGCAGCTGCCGTTCTCAGGAGGCCTCAGTGAGCGGCAGCTGCAGTTGAGAAAAGTGCGCGCAACAGCAGGGAATTCCAGGAGAGGTGACGTCATCCATACGCTCATATCCCCCAGCTGTCATCGGCGCGCCCTCCCCTTCCCTGCATCTGCCATTCTCAGAGGGTCCCGTGAGCAGCAGCTGCAGTGGAGAGAGCGCTCAACAACAGCTTGGAATTCCAGGAGAGGTGACGTCACCCATACGTTCCTATTTCCCAGCCATAATCGGCGCTCCCTCCTCTCCCCTGCAGCCACTGCTCACGTTTGGCGATTTGGAATTGCGGGTGGAATTGTGGCGATGCTAAATCGCCTAATGTGAATTGGATTCTCAGTGAGCGGCAGCTGCAGGGGAGAGGAAGGGAGCGCCGATGACGGCTGGGACAAGGGGGCCTATTATGGGTAATGTCGCCACTTCTGAAATTCCCAGATATTGTTGAGCGCCCTCTCCTCTCCCATGCAGCTGTCGCCGGTTCAAACAAGAGATCACATGACCGGACTGGGGAAGGCTGAAAATAAAAAAGTATATACGTTTTTTTTTCTCTACACAGGTTAGCCAGTATAGGTGCTACTACTCACAGATGGGGGGGGAGCAGGGGAGATCTGTGAATCTGACATCAGCTCTCCTGGAGTGGAGACATCAGCAAGCCTCCCAGGAGCGGTGACGTCACCCATAGGCTCCTATCTCCCAGCTGTCATCGGTGCTCCCTCCCCTTCCCTGCAGCTGCCATTCTCAGAGGGCCTCAGTGAGCGGCAGCTGCAGTGGAGGAGAGAGAGCGCTCAACAACAACTGGGAATTCCAGTAGAGGTGACGTCACCCATACGCTCCTATTTTGCAGCCATAATCGGCGCCCCCTCCTCTCCCCTGCAGCCGCTGCTCACGTTTGGCGATTTGGAATTGTGGGCGGAATTGTGGCGATTCCAAATCGCCTAATGTGAACGGGATTCTCAGTGAGCGGCAGCTGCAGGGGAGAGGAAGGGAGTGCCGATGACGACTGGGACAAGGGGGCCTATTATGGGTAATGTCGCCACTTCTGGAATTCCCAGATATTGTTGAGCGCCCTCTCCTCTCCCCTGCAGCTGCTGCCAGCGGCTGAAACAAGAGATCACATGACCAGACTGGGGTGGGCTGAAAATAGGAAAGTATATACACATTTTTTTTTTTTTTACACAGGTTAGCCAGCATAGGTGCTACTACTCACAGATGGGGGGGGGGGGGGGGCAGGGGAGATCTGTGAATCTGACATCAGCTCTCCTGGAATGGAGACATCAGAAAGCCTCCCTGGCTCCCCTTTCTGGTGGTCTCTATACGCCGCTAGGACTATAGTTAAGCTGCTGGCGCTCCGCTGTAAGCTGAACTTCCTGTGTTGCCTCTGGAGCGCACTTCACATACATGACGAAGGGCAGAGAAATGCTCCGGGGCCCAATGACGCTTCAAACGTCATCCAGCAGATCTGCTATACAAGTCAACAAAATAACTAAAAACAGGAAATTCACTGCAATACGTGACATGGGAAGGGGATGCCAAAAATACGTCTGTTCCAAAAATAGCCTATAAAACGCACGAATGTCAGGGATTGTGGCGGTGACAGTACGGCGACACTTCATGGTGCCTAGAGTGCAGATCTGGTGCTCAGTACAACACTGGACTACTTCAACCACTCGCCCAGAGGGGATATTTATTAACATTTTCTGTACACATTAAAATCTGCGATTTTTCTAGAAATCACTGCAACTCAATAATGTATTTATTTTTCCAAAAGCAGAGACCTTGAGAATAAAATGGTGGTACTTTGTAATTTTTGATGTCGCACAATATTTGTGCAGCTGTTTATCAAATTTGTGTTTTCAGAAAAAAACAAAAAAAAAACAAAAGCACAACACTAAGCCCTGGTTCAGGCCAGTGCGACTTGTCATGGGGGTTTGGCAGTTTCAAGTCGCACCCCATTGTCTGCAATGGGACCGTTCAAAAGTAGTTCCTGCGCTGCTTTTTGCGATTTCAGGTGCAACTTGCATAGACCTCTGTGCATGAAGTCACACAAATGTCTTTCAAAACCGCTGACATGTGACTTTGAAATAATGCGACTTCAAGTAAAGTCACAGTTTCAAAGTCAAATCCAGGATACAATGAATATTATATATATATATATATATATATATATATATATAAAATAGCATGGGCAGGTGACAGGTACTCTATACTCTATGGAGACATTGGGGGTCTTTTAGAGCCCCAATAACTTCCCCTGCCCCCTAGTGCACCTATCCAAACATAGATTGTGGTTGAAAAGCTGCATCCTCGGCTACACTAGTCAAGGAATGACTGGTCTTTCAGGGGGCTCCTCTGCATAGTGTTGGGTGACTGATCTTTGGGGGGGGAAGGCTTCTTTGCATTGTGCAGAGTGACTATTTTTTGGGGGGATCCTCTGCAATGTGCAAAGTGATTGGTCTTTGGGGGCTACCCTGCATTCTATAGGGTGAATGATCTCTGCTGGGTGACTTTATTGGGGGGCTCTTTGTCATTGTCCAGGGTGACTGGTCTTTGGGGGGTCCTCTGCATTGTTCAGGATGCGTGATCTTTTGGGGGCTCCTCTGCATCGTGCAGGTTGATTAGTCTTTGTGGGGCCTCTTCTGCATTGAGCAGTGTGACTGGTATTTCGGGGGCTCCTCTGCATCGTGCAGGGTGACTGGTCCTTGGGGGGGCTCTTCTGCATCGTGCAGGGTAACTGGTATTTCGGGGGCTCCTCTGCATCGTGCAGGGTAACTGGTATTTCGGGGGCTCCTCTGCATCGTGCAGGGTAACTGGTATTTCGGGGGCTCCTCTGCATCGTGCAGGGTGACTGCTCCTTGGGGGGGCTCCTCTGCATCGTGCAGGGTGACTGCTCCTTGGGGGGGCTCCTCTGCATCGTGCAGGGTGACTGCTCCTTGGGGGGGGCTCCTCTGCATCGTGCAGGGTGACTGCTCCTTGGGGGGGGCTCCTCTGCATCGTGCAGGGTGACTGCTCCTTGGGGGGGCTCCTCTGCATTGTACAGGGTGACTGGACTCTGAGGGCTCTTCGGCATGGCCATCCAGAATTGGGGCTCACAGAGCCATGAGGATGCCTCCGCTCTCCCAGTTTTTTTTTTTTCGGCATTGCATCCATTGGATTTACATGCAGCACTGCCTCTGCCTGCTCTGCACTCCTGGATGTCTCTGCTGGCTTACAATAGGAGCAAAGCACTTCTGGTCCATAACAGAACCCATTAAACTTCCCTCACTCTTCGTGAACACAGGAAGGTCATTGGCCGGTCCTCCACTTTCTCTGGACTTCGTTTTCAGACCATCCCAGTTCTATTACTGCCTGAACATTACCTGAAGGACCTGACCGGAGTGCTGGCATTGCTTGGCAATTACCTCCTTGAACAACCCTGAGAAGCCAGTTAGACTTTATTATCAGATAAAACACAGAGAGAGCCATTGTTGGGGATCTGCTGGTAGCGGCGCAGTACCGTCCTGGGAAATAAAGCTGCACATTCCTTCCTCGATATCTCAGGCTCAGGGGAAGGTAATCCACTTCCAGATTAAATGGCGCAATGCTTGGGGAAGTCTACAAATACCATGACCACTAACAAACCACATGATGTACTGAACGGGGGGAGAACAAGAAGGAGCAAATTGTTCTACTGCTGTGCAAGTCCCTAATCGGATCACACGTCTGCAGCTGGCCCTATCTCTCTTCATAGAAGGGCTGGGACAAGGGGAGGGCGGGAGGGACAGAGGCCCTGGGTGCAGTGGTATGGGGGTGCCCATTCACTGCACACTTCAGATCTGCCACCATATTGTGCCTGCTGTGACAGCAACCTACCCCCTCTGCACCCCATCCATCCACATCGTGCACAAGGAGCTCTCTTCTAGGTGCTAGAATGCAAGGGATCAGCTGCGCGTGTGCAATGCGCACTCCATGTCAACCAACCAAGAGGGCAGAGAATGGATGCAGGGTGGTATGCATTATTGCATGCATTAGCATTGGGGATGGGGGGAATGGCAGTTCGACATTCTTGATTGGGGCGCTGAACGAACCTGTCCCAGTGCTGCTCCACAGAACCACTTGATTTCCACAATGGCTATTGCTTCCTCTTTCCCTACAGGGAGAGATTTATTACTCCGTGAAAACGGTCAGGCCCACCCAACAAGGAGGCTTGTGTCTTTGGGTTATGCAGTGGGGTCCATACTCCATTACAACTCCTGCCTGCCCTGATCTCTACCTATACATATTGCTTAGGTTCTGGCATCTGTCGCCCGTCTAGGGCTGCAACCTAGGAGTGGTCAGCAGTCATTATCACATGCAAATGATGCTGGTGATGGTTGGGCATCTGGGCCCTCAACCCTGACTTTTCCACATGTCTCCCTGGAAAGCTCTACAGCTCGAGCCCTACTCGTCCTCCTCGTCTTCACTTTTGACCTACAGAAGACTCCTTTCCCCTTTTGCTTCTTTTTTCCCTACAGGGAGAGATTTATTACTCCGTGAAAACGGTCAGTCCCACCCAACAAGGAGGCTTGTGTCTTTGGGTTATGCAGTTGGGGTCCACACTGAGCTCGATTATAACTCCTGCCTGCCCTGATCTCTAGCTATACATTGCTTAGGTTCTGGCATCTGTCGCCCGTCTAGGGCTGCAACCTGGGAGTGGTCAGCAGCCATCATCACATACAGGCGGTGCTGGGTGATGATCGGGCATTTGGGCCCTCAACTCTGACTTTTCCACGTGTCTCCCTGGAAAGCTCTACAGCTCGAGCCCTACTCGTCCTCCTCGTCTTCACTCTTGACCTACAGAAGACCCCTCCCCCTTTTGAAGTGTTGCACGATGGACAAGACAACCTTTGCCATTTGCTTTTGAGCGTTCATTCTATCCTTGCTCAATCAAGCAACATTTCTCATCTGCTAGGAACGAGACCTTCAACTTACCCTATCCCAACGCCAAGCCCAGAAGATTCTTCATTTTTTTCCCTAAAACCCTTCATAGGTACTAGACTACCAGCTATAAAATATCGACCAGATGGTACAAACCCCCAAAAGATCTATCCACAGACCCCAGATCTATGTTGGAGGTGCAAACAGACTTCAGGATCGTAATTCTACATCTTCTGGTCATGCCCTGTTATCCAGCTCTCCGGGACCAAAATTTAGAGAACTTACTTTACAACCACTTTAAGTAAAGCAAGTTGGTTGATACGAGCCATTGGCTCTTGCTGCTGTCAATCAAATCCCATGAGGAGGGAGCGGGGGGGCAGCACTGTGTGTGTCAATAGAAGTGCACATCCCTGCTTGGGAATGAGCTCACACGAGTGCCACCATAGCAAGCGGCTGGCTACTGGGGCACTCGGCAGGGAGGAGGAGCCGAGAACGCTAGTGGAGGACCCCAGAAGAGGAGGATCAGAGCTGCTCTGTGCAAAATCATTGCACAGAGCAGGTAAATATGACAGGTTTATTTTAAAACATGGAACCTTTAGAATCACTTTAACCACTTGCAGGCCGCGCTGTAGCCAAATGACGGCTACAGCGGGGTCGTCCAGCTCTGCGGCATGCACCGCCACTCTCTGTCATCGCTTTGTCCTTCAGACACAACTGATCACAAATCACGGTAAAGGGCCAATCACAACAGCCCTTTACCATGTGCTCTGCTGTGTCCAATCACAGCTGATCACATGATGTAAACACACTTGCTGGTTATCAACAGTACTTTGCTCACACTTTCACAGCGTGAGGAAAGTACAGCAGATAACCGGCAGGTGTGAAAGGGGACATCTATACTGATAATCAGGGCACTGATTATCTGGGCCCGTCAGTGCCGCCTATCAGAGCCCGTCAGTGCCGCCTATCAGAGCCCGTCAGTGCCGCCCTATCAGAGCCCGTCAGTGCCGCCCTATCAGAGCCCGTCAGTGCCGCCCTATCAGAGCCCGTCAGTGCCGCCTATCAGAGCCCGTCAGTGCCGCCTATCAGAGCCCCTAAAGCTGAACATTGGCCTGGGCAGGAAGGGGGTGAAAGTGTCCGTTGTTGAGGGGGTAAAGACTGATTTACAGAAATTTCCCGACTATACCATCCCAGCCGGCTGGGAACTGGTATCAACACACAATCAAAGCATACGCATCCAGCAGGCCATGAATCTTTATAAATGGCGTCCAGAAGTTTATCAAAATGAAGAAAGGGTCCTCCGTGGCTCTGAAACGTCGGGACTTTATGCCGTGATGTGATTATTACAATACAACATGCTAAAACCGCACCAGGAAGAGCCACATGATCTCCACTTACTGCACAGAGCCGTGGAAATATCAGATGACCTGGAACATAAACCCCAGAGGTGGCCGGGACAAACCCAGAACTGGTGAGAGATCGGGCCGGTGAGGTTCCCAAGAGATATACAAAACCAGCGTGTGACCCAGGACACCAGACCTCACCCCTAACCGAAACACTATTGGGTGAGGAGGGCTTTGAAGGCGGGTACTTACAGCGTTGACTAGATGGTGTCTGGCCACTTACCTGTTCCATTCACCTTCTCTCTGAGCAGCCTGGCGTCTCGGCCCAAACCGGCGACTCTGAAGGAGAGATCTGACAGTTCATCTGCAGACTGAGAGAAACAGATCCATGTGAGTCTTCCAGTACTGCGCAATCAAATCACAGAGAAACGAAAGGGAATCGATTACGTCACTATTCATAGCTCATCCACCCCAACGATACCCCCACACCGACTATACCCCACCGACTCCACCCCAACGATACCCCCACCCCAACGATACCCCCACACACCCCACTCCAATACCTCCACTGACTCCACCCCCAACGATACCCCACCCCGATACCCCACCTTAACAATACCGCCACACACACCCCACCCCGATGATACCCCCACCGACTCCACCCCGACGATATCCCTACACACTCCGCCCAAACAAAACCTCCACGATACCCCCACACACTCCACCCCCACCAACGATACCCCCCCCACACACTCCACTCCCGACGATACCCCCCCCACACAATCCACCCCCAACGATACCCCCCCCCCCCACACACTCCACCCCCGACGATACCCCCCCCCCCACACACTCCACCCCCGACGTTACCCCCCCCCCCACACACTCCACCCCAACGATACCCCCCCCCCTCACTCTACCCCCGACGATACTCCTCCACACACTCCACCCCCGCCCTCCACACACTCCAACCAAACGATACCCCCACACACACTCCAACCAAACGATACCCCCACACACACTCCAACCAAACGATACCCCCACACACACTCCAACCAAACGATACCCCCACACACACTCCAACCAAACGATACCCCCACACACACTCCACCCCATAATGATACCCCATCTACTCCACTCCAATGTTACCCCACCACCTTCCCTATGATGATTTCTCACCTATTCCACACTGATGATGCCTTCCTTCCCCATAATATCTCACCTACTCCACCCCAATGATACCCCACCTACTCCACCCCAACGATACCCCACCTACTCCACCCCAACGATACCCCACCTACTCCTCTCCAGCAAAACCCCACCTACACCAACACCACCCCAACAATACCCCACCCCACCTACACCACCCCAACAATACCCCACCTACACCACCCCAACAATACCCCACCTACACCACCCCAACAATACCCCACCTACACCACCCCAACAATACCCCACCTACACCACCCCCCAACAATACCCCACCTACACCACCCCAACAATACCCCACCTACACCACCCCAACAATACCCCACCTACACAACCCCAACAATACCCCACCTACACCACCCCAACAATACCCCACCTACACCACCCCAACAATACCCCACCTACAGCACCCCGAACGATAACCCACCCTACTCCACCCCATGCTACCAAACCACCTGCTCTATGACTTCTCACCTACTCCACCCCAATGATACCCCACCTACTCCACCCCAACAATACCCCACCTACCTCCTCTCCAGCAAAACCCCACCTACACCTCTCCAACAAAACCCCACCTACACCACCCCAACAATACCCCACCTACACCACCCCCAACAATACCCCACCTACACCACCCCAACAATACCCCACCTACACCACCCCAACAATACCCCACCTACACCACCCCAACGATACCCCACCTACACCACCCCAACGATACCCCACCTACAGCACCCGAATGATAACCCACCTACTCCACCCCATGCTACCAAACCACCTGCTCTATGACTTCTCACTGACTCCGCCCCAATGATACCCCACCTACTCCACCCCAACAATACCCCACCTACTCCTCTCCAGCAAAACCCCACCTACACCACCCCAACAATACCCCACCTACACCACCCCAACAATACCCCACCTACACCACCCCAACAATACCCCACCTACACCACCCCAACAATACCCTACCTACACCACCCCAACAATACCCCACCTACACCACCCCAACAATACCCACCTACTTCTCACTGACTCCACCCCAATGATACCCCACCAAGTGAAAGTGAAACTCACTTATCCCTCCCAATGATATGCTCTCAGAGCTCCCCTATTGCCCTGTCTATTTCTTGTAGCCATGAATCTAAACCCTGTGTAAGCTCCAACAAAGACCTCAGTGACCTGCCCCTCCCCTCACATGACAGTATTTGGGAGGGGCGATTGGCTGCTCAGTCTTGGGCGCTACATCTTGGAAGAAAGGGGAGAAGGTCACACGCCCTTCCTTACCAACACCGGTGGACATTTCAGAAGGCTCAGACAAACAAATGGAGCAATGTGGGGTGCAGACTCTCAGGTGGGTGAAGGGCACCCCAGAAAGAGAAGCAGTCTCTTTAACCCCTTCCTACCAGTTGTATGGTCCTAAGTGGCAGCATAGAGGTCACATAGTGACAACTGGGGGCTTCAAGTGATCACATGACCCAGCAGCCCAGGCATTAGGGGTTTGTTCCTATAGCTTGGGCATTAAGGGGTTAAGGTTGGGTGTCAGAGCCAATGCAGGAGTCAGCAGAATTTTGTTTTTCTGGATGTACAGTGTAAACAAAGACTAGTTCACTCTAAACTAGTATAACTAGTAAATCTAGAATGGTGTCTGATGATGGAGGTGACGACATCTGTAAATACAACCCAATGATCTTGGTTTCTAGGAGGGCTCAGGATGTGGAGAGTCAGCTGATATAAAACAAACACCCAAAATTATTTGTGTCTGCATCAGCCAAGATTTAAAGAGACCCTGTCACCTGACCATTCATTCCAACAACAATCTTCACGTAAGATTTACATGTGCATTGTTTGCATGATATTTACCTGTAAAGTCCCCCCCCCCCCCCCCCCCCCCTCGTGCAGGCATCCCATCCTTACTTACAGGAGAATCTGGCTTCTCTAAGAAGAGTCATTTGTCTAACTACTGTCAATGCTGGCCCAGCTCTTCCTTGCCAATGCTTCCATAGAACCTTGGTTGACCTTATCTGGCCCTTGAGCCACTATTCCTCCCACTGACACCAAGGACAAAAGCACTATTCCTCCCACTGACACCAAGGACAAAGCACTATTCCTCCCACTGATACCAATGATGGGGCACTATTCCTCCCACTGATACCAATGATGGGGCACTATTCCTCCCACTGACACCAATGATGGGGCACTATTCCTCCCACTGACACCAATGATGGGGCACTATTCCTCCCACTGACACCAATGATGGGGCACTATTCCTCCCACTGACACCAATGATGGGACACTATTCCTCCCACTGACACCAATGATGGGACACTATTCCTCCCACTGACACCAATGATGGGACACTATTCCTCCCACTGACACCAATGATGGGACACTATTCCTCCCACTGATACCAACGATGGGGCACTATTCCTCCCACTGACACCAACGATGGGGCACTATTCCTCCCACTGACACCAATGATGGGGCACTATTCCTCCCACTGACACCAATGATGGGGCACTATTCCTCCCACTGACACCAATGATGGGGCACTATTTCTTCCACTGACACCAATGATGGGACACTATTCCTCCCACTGACACCAATGATGGGGCACTATTCCTCCCACTGACACCAATGATAGGACACTATTCCTCCCACTGACACCAATGATGGGGCACTATTCCTCCCACTGACACCAATGATGGGGCACTATTCCCCCCACTGATACCAATGATGGGGCACTATTCCTCCCACTGACACCAATGATGGGGCACTATTCCTCTCACTGACACCAATGATGGGGCACTATTCCCCCACTGATACCAATGATGGGGCACTATTCCTCTCACTGACACCAATGATGGGGCACTATTCCCCCCACTGATACCAATGATGGGGCACTATTCCTCCCACTGACACCAATGATGGGGCACTATTCCTCTCACTGACACCAATGATGGGGCACTATTCCTCCCACTGACACCAATGATGGGGCACTATTCCTCCCACTGATACCAACGATGGGGCACTATTCCTCCCACTGATACCAATGATGGGGCACTATTCCTCCCACTGACACCAATGACGGGCACTATTCCTCCCACTGACACCAATGATAGGACACTATTCCTCCCACTGACACCAATGATGGAAAACTATTCCTCCCACAGACACCAATGATGGAAAACTATTCCTCCCACAGACACCAATGATGGGGCACTATTCCTCCCACTGACACCAATGATGGGGCACTATTCCTCCCACTGACACCAATGATGGGGCACTATTCCTCCCACTGACACCAATGATGGGGCACTATTCCTCCCACTGACACCAATGATGGAGCACTATTCCTCCCACTGATACCAATGATGGGGCACTATTCCTCCCACTGATACCAATGATGGGGCACTATTCCTCCCACTGACACCAATGACGGGGCACTATTCCTCCCACTGATACCAATGACGGGGCACTATTCCTCCCACTGACACCAATGACGGAGCACTATTCCTCCCACTGACACCAATGATGGGGCACTATTCCTCCCACTGACACCAATGATGGGGCACTATTCCTCCCACTGACACCAATGATGGGGCACTATTCTCCCACTGACACCAATGATGGGGCACTATTCCTCCCACTGACACCAATGATGGGACACTATTCCTCCCACTGACACCAATGATGGGACACTATTCCTCCCACTGACACCAATGATGGGACACTATTCCTCCCACTGACACCAATGATGGGACACTATTCCTCCCACTGATACCAACGATGGGGCACTATTCCTCCCACTGATACCAATGATGGGGCACTATTCCTCCCACTGACACCAATGATGGGGCACTATTCCTCCCACTGACACCAATGATGGGGCACTATTCCTCTCACTGACACCAATGATGGGGCACTATTCCTCCCACTGACACCAATGATGGGGCACTATTCCCCCCACTGATACCAATGATGGGGCACTATTCCTCCCACTGACACCAATGATGGGGCACTATTCCTCTCACTGACACCAATGATGGGGCACTATTCCCCCCACTGATACCAATGATGGGGCACTATTCCTCCCACTGACACCAATGATGGGGCACTATTCCTCTCACTGACACCAATGATGGGGCACTATTCCTCCCACTGACACCAATGAAGGGGCACTATTCCTCCCACTGACACCAATGACGGGGCACTATTCCTCCCACTGACACCAATGACGGGGCACTATTCCTCCCACTGACACCAATGATAGGACACTATTCCTCCCACTGACACCAATGATGGAAAACTATTCCTCCCACAGACACCAATGATGGAAAACTATTCCTCCCACAGACACCAATGATGGGGCACTATTCCTCCCACTGACACCAATGATGGGGCACTATTCCTCCCACTGACACCAATGATGGGGCACTATTCCTCCCACTGACACCAATGATGGGGCACTATTCCTCCCACTGACACCAATGATGGAGCACTATTCCTCCCACTGATACCAATGATGGGGCACTATTCCTCCCACTGATACCAATGACGGGGCACTATTCCTCCCACTGACACCAATGACGGAGCACTATTCCTCCCACTGACACCAATGATGGGGCACTATTCCTCCCACTGACACCAATGATGGGGCACTATTCCTCCCACTGATACCAATGATGGGGCACTATTCCTCCCACTGACACCAATGATGGGGCACTATTCCTCCCACTGATACCAATGATGGGGCACTATTCCTCCCACTGACACCAATGATGGGGCACTATTCCTCCCACTGATACCAATGATGGGGCACTATTCCTCCCACTGACACCAATGATGGGGCACTATTCGCACCACTGACACCAATGATGGGGCACTATTCCTCCCACTGATACCAATGATGGGGCACTATTCCTCCCACTGACACCAATGATGGGGCACTATTCCTCCCACTGACACCAATGATGGGGTACTATTCCTCCCACTGAATATTATTATTACTATACAAGATTTATATAGCGCCATCAGTTTACACAGCGCTTTACAACACAAGGCCAGACAGTACAGTTTTAATACAGGAGGAATCAGAGGGCCTGTTCATTAGAGCCTACAATCTAATAGGGACAAGTGATTCAAAAGGTAATAACTGTGGGCAATGGGCTGATGCCCCCCAATCAGTACATGTGCAGCACTCCTGCTCTGGGTGACCCCGTGAAGGGGATACAGGAGACCAACAGCAAAAAGAAATGCATCTGTCGGCGGCCGTACATTTCTGAGACAGGAAGTGAAAGGGAATGTCTCCAATGGGACACAGACAGCAATAAATATACATGACGGGGGCTTTAACCCTTCCCTGCCTTATACAGGAAAGACAGGAGACCCCCTACTTGCCTTACAGCAAAGCTCTGTTCACAGTCCACATTGGTGACACCGGTAGGAAACCACCGGCCAAGGTGCTGCAAGCCTGTAAGGGGGACACTGTGACCGACCACCCGGTTTGCTGGCCATGCATGCCCCGAATCTGCACACAGCAAGAAACTGCATGGGGGGTTGGTTTCGGTTCACCCCTCAGGGCTGCTCTACTCCTGCAGGTGTCACTATGCCCGGTGGGTGATGGTGTCCTCCAGTGAATAAAAGAGAAATAATGTATTGGCTCTGCATACATTGAGATCATTGGGAGATAGCGGGAGCCGTGCTTGGTAGCCCCCCAGCCTCCAAGAGAAAAAAATGCACAAACCTCATTCCCGGACCACCGTTTGCTGCCACTGTCCACACTGTTAAAGCCGGAATCCAGGCAGCCATACGGCTTAGAGGAATACACATCATCAGTGAGGCTGAAAGAGATCGCAAAGGTGATGTTCATCAACATGATCTTCCTACAGAGAGCGTTCAATGTCAGATTAACCCCTTCAATACCGGGCACCCCCCCCCCCCCCCCCACCACAGAGAACATTCAATATGAGATTAACCCCTTCAATACCGGGCACACCCCCCCCTGACCAATTTCAGATTCCAGCGCCATTGCACTTTGAATGACAATTACTCAATCATGCTACTCTGTACCCAATGAGATACGTTTTTCCACACACAAATAGAGCTTTCTTTTGGTGGTATTTGATCACCACTGGGGTTTTTTATTTTTTGCTATATAAACAAAAAAAAACAGAAAACAAAAACTGTGAAAAAAACAAACTAAATTTCAGCTATAAAATTTTGTAAATAAATAATCTTTCTACATAAATTTAGACCAAAATGTATACTAGATTTCTAAATCCCAAAAACCCAAATCGGTGTATATTATTTACTCCAGTGTTTCTCAACCTTTTTTCAGTCGGACGGTCCCGAGGCGCCCTCTAAAATTACGGACGGTCCCGAGGCGCCCTCTAAAATTACGGACGGTCCCGAGGCGCCCTCTAAAATTACGGACGGTCCCGAGGCGCCCTCTAAAATTACGGACGGTCCCGAGGCGCCCTCTAAAATTACGGACGGTCCCGAGGCGCCCTCTAAAATTACGCACGGTCCCGAGGCGCCCTCTAAAATTACGCACGGTCCCGAGGCGCCCTCTAAAATTACGCACGGTCCCGAGGCGCCCTCTAAAATTACGCACGGTCCCGAGGCGCCCTCTAAAATTACGCACGGTCCCGAGGCGCCCTCTAAAATTACGCACGGTCCCGAGGCGCCCTCTAAAATTACGCACGGTCCCGAGGCGCCCTCTAAAAATTACGCACGGTCCCGAGGCGCCCTCTAAAATTACGCACGGTCCCGAGGCGCCCTCTAAAATTACGGACGGTCCCGAGGCGCCCTCTAAAATTACGGACGGTCCCGAGGCGCCCTCTAAAATTACGGACGGTCCCGAGGCGCCCTCTAAAATTACGGACGGTCCCGAGGCGCCCTCTAAAATTACGGACGGTCCCGAGGCGCCCTCTAAAATTACGGACGGTCCCGAGGCGCCCTCTAAAATTACGGACGGTCCCGAGGCGCCCTCTAAAATTACGGACGGTCCCGAGGCGCCCTCTAAAATTATGGACGGTCCCGAGGCACCCTCTAACATGAAAGACAGTCCTGAGGCACCCGCTAAAATTATCGATGGTTCCGAGGCACCCGCTAAAATTAGGACGGTCCCGAGGCACCCGCTAAAATTAGGACGGTCCCGAGGCACCCGCTAAAATTAGGATGGTCCCGAGGCACCCCATTCTAAAATATAAAAAAGTATTCTAATATTTTTATATAAACTCAGCGACATCCACACATGTAGGACACCCAACACTAGAGGGGATTTATTCTTCCAAATCAAATACACTTTTTCACATTGGTCCTGACTAGTATTACAGTGGTTCTCTCAGGTTTTCCCCATCTCTGAGATAATGTGACCCCAGCACTGATGGTGAGGGGCGGGGGAGGGTCAAACAAGGATGCTGTGCAAGCAACTGACATCTTATCAATTGATGATGTCATTGGTTGTCAGGATGCCGGCGACCAGAAGGTCGCAATTGTGCACAATGAAAGCCTGTGGCTTTGTGTAACTAAAGGTCAGGCTTCTTCCACCCGCTGGCTTGTATACAAGTTTTGTGCAACTTTTAGACATTTTGCCAAGGCACCCCTGAAGAAACCTCAAGGCACCCCAGGGTACCTGGGCACCCTGGCTGAGAAATCCTGATTTATTCTGTGTTAAAGTTATAGAGCCTACAAACTATGGGACAAATATTTGAAAATTGCTCAATCCTGATGTACTGATGGCTGATCTCACTTCTTGAGCTCCTAAAATTCCAGGGCAATACAAATACCACCCAAATGACCCCTTTTTGGAAAGTAGACAGTCCAAGGTATTTATTAAGAGGAATGGCGAGTCATTTTTCAATGAAAATTAACTAAATTTTTTTCAAATTTTTTACATACAGTCACCAGAGCAGTACGTCATCATATGAATGGTGTTGGCAGTGATCAGGGATACCGACTGGGTTAAAAAAAAAAAAATTATATTTATGTGTGTGTGTATGTATATATGTATGTATATATATATATATATATATATATATATATATATATATTTTACTTTTGTTTTTTTTTTTCCCCCCCCACATACTGTGACTGGAGCAGTGCAGTATTACCATAGTGACAATGTACTGCTCTGGGGAGGTGTTCGGGATTTGTTTTTTTTTTTTTTTTACACGATTGCTTATAACAGTGATAATCACTGGTATAAGCAATCATTTTTATAAATGGTATCCATCCAATGGGTGTTATGGTGATTAGCCACAGCTATCACATGGTACAGATGTGCTGTGATTGGCCCTGTCTGTTCCATGTGATCACTATGACCAATCACATAGAGCATTACAAAAAAATACACAATGAATGGCTATGAATAAAAGCCATTCATTGTGTATACCTGTCATATGATCACTGTGATTGGTCACAGCAATCACATGATACTGGGACCGGTCAAGTACAATGATCTCTCATCCGTGTGGAAAATCATACTCCTTCCAAAAGGTACACATTCTTGACTCAGCAGGTGGGGTATAGCCAGTCAGAAAAGACAGGTAAAGGCTATATTGTCAGAGCCTGGGTCCGAACCTGGGCCTTCTGCGGCAAGAGGCAATGTTTCTTCTTGTTGAGCCACCTGGAATGCTGGACAGCTCCCTTGACAATTATTTGGATGATCCTACACCTTGACCTTGTTTTCTGATGAACCTTGAACCTCTAACTCCTCCCATGAACTTCCTAATATAAGCCATGCCTCTGCACTTCCTGTTTGCCAGATTATTGTGCTCTCCAGCCAGTATTGTGCTCCTTGCTTTCATCCATATTTTGCTGTCACTCGCTATTGAGCCTTGGCTTGTTCTTGACTACTCTTCTGCCTGATCCCAACCTGCGACTGCTCCTTACCGACCTTGGCTTGTTTACGGACCACACTTTCATTTGATCCTTACCTGCTTATACGCTACTGGACCTCCGCTTGCTCACTGCCTGGTGGGACGATCCTGAGGACCGTGACCTGGTGCTAACATGCAGCCAAATCCATCTCCACCATCTCTGGTGAACACCAGTTGGTACTTAGACTCCGCACCTCGGGTGATCCCACTCCTCCACCACGGTGACCTGCCTGTGTACCTATCCTGCTGGTTTCAGGTGAGCCTTTCCACTGCTATAGCAACTGGTCTTTGAGCCTGACCCCTGATGGTGACGCCTATAGGGTCCTGAACAGAACACATAGTACATGACACATTTACTTGCCTTGCTGGGAATCTGGCTTCACTGTCTGCATTGTAACCAACATTGTACTATATTTCAACACTCAGAATTTCCCTTTATAGCATATTTGGGGGTTGAAGTTTGGGGGGTAAGAGTTAGGGTTAGAGGGTTGTGTGTCCATGTAGTTTGCCTGTTATTGTGGCAGAATGCACAGAGTTATAAAAGAAATAAATATTGTCAATCCACAATCAACATACAAGTCTACTTACCAAGTGGTAAAACTTGTGGGGCGGCTCAGTTTCCCCAGATCTCCCAGTTCCGGTGCAGGTTTACTGCAAGCCTCAATGTTAAGGTACTTAAATATGTGAACCTTCCCTTTGAGGCAGATCTGTCCGAAACAGAAAACAAACTCAATATTCTTCAATAAAACTGATAGAAGAGGGCTATATGTCCTCCTCCTGGAACACTGACCTGTGCGGGTGGGTATTGGAGGGGGTTGTTGTCCAGTATGATGGTCTGAAGGTGTCGGAGGTGTCGGTAACAGACAGGAATGTGGGAGATGCGGTTGCAGGAGATGTCTAGACGGATCAGAGGAAGCTCAGAGAGTTCTGGAATAGAAAGCGATAAAGTCTTATATACATGGAACACTACATATGACACCACAGTACCTACACATCAGGAATTCCCTGAACATTCATACAAAAGCAGAAGGGGCTGGAGCACAGAAAACTTATTTTTATTGCTCACCCAGTGATATGGAATCCATTTAGAGCTGGGATTTGGACCCGGGTTTAAATCCCGGATAAGCCCCCACGGTATTACTGAACGAGCAATAGAAAGTTTTGTGCTTATTAAATCCCGGATAAGCCCCCACGGTATTCTGTATAACTTAACGAGCAATAGAAAGTTCTTTGTATACACACAAACATTTTATAGAACTTTATATTTATACTTCATTCATCAAAGGCTAAGCCCACCCTTTGCAAAAAAGTAATAAATGCACCCATAATTTGCAGGGAATATAAGCTGCACTTATTTTTTATGATTTGCAGCCTGCAAAGCATTGAAACTGCAAACAAAGGATCGTATGTGCAGGCTCCCCTTCTGCAGCTGCTGAGATGCACCTCGGCACGAACCTTCAGGGTAGCAGAGAGTGTCAATGGGCTATGTAACGGAACCGACCCCACACTGCACTTGGGTACTTCCGTTAGAATACCGCTTCCCTGTCCTAACACCGACCACTGACACCACAGCAGACCAGACAAGACCAGACGACACCAATCTTGAAGTAAGCCAGAGGCAGACTAATTTATTTGAACACAGATACAAGATATATACACTCAGGGGACAATCCCCCCTCCCTGCATGACACAGGGCGGGGCAATCTACATTTAGTAACAAGAGACACACAGGTATTCAAACTTCACACCAGCAGACAGTCCCATCAGGAGCAGGGGCGGACTGACAACTCATGGGGCTCCCGGGCAATAGGGGATCAGGTCCTTGCCTAAACTCAAAAAAGCCTATGAAAAAGGTACCAGAGGCATCTAATGGGGCCCCCTACTGACCCCGGGCCCTCGGGCAGTGTCCGAGTTTCCAAATGGTCAGTCCGTCCCTGATGAGGAGGGAGGGCTGCTGGAGACACCCCCCACTAAGCTAATACACATAAACACATACATCCCATAATAGTTTGCTCCCAAGCCACACAAACAATAGAACAATGGGATGCAGCCACACAACACCAAATAATTCACAACCCCCCACCCCACCTATCTCCTAGACATGTCTACACAATATTAGGACAGATCACCCTGTACCCCTAACAGGCACAGGGTGACTTACACATAAGAGGGATATGGGGAGCTGAGACAGAGGTCTCTACACCTCTCCAAAGTGAGCTGAGTTCCATAGGCCCCCCACCCAAAGGGACTCCCGTCGCAGGCTACAAGTATGGCGAACACTGCAATTGTGTGCCGTTGATAACTTTTCTTTTGCCGTGGTGGCAGATGGGATCTGCAGCTTATTAATACACAGATCAGAATGAATGACGCATCTGCACAGGGGGAGCCATGCACAGCAGCACCAAATTTAAAAAGTGACAGGAGCCGATGGGAAGAAGAATCCTGTCAGGGAGGGGGACAGCTTGGCGCTACGTTACACCCTAAATGTGCGCGTAACGTACAGTATAGTAGGAAAGGTGGAGTTAGCCTTTAACTAAACTCAGATATGTCGATTAGCCCTGAGGAAGTGAACACTGATCCCTGAAATGTGTAGGACCTCCTGGAACTTTCAGTCTTCCATCTGTATGAAGACTACCATAGTAAAGAACATTCTCTTGGTCACAGGCACCAACCCTCCAGATGGAGGGGTGCTCACATTCCTTCTATTTCACCTCACGTACATACATGGGGGGTGCTGAAGTATCTCTACATTGTAATAGTATAGCTAAAGGCAAGACTTTTGTTTTTTAGTTTTGGAAGGCGTGAAGAGGGATTAGAACCCCTGTCAGTTTTTTATTGCTGTCTGTGTCCCCATTAGGGAGATTCCCCCTCTTTATTTGTCCTATTTATCCTTATCATTGAAAGTGAAAGAAAATCCCTCATTTTTGGTTGCCCCAGAAAAGTAATAGAAGGGAAATCTTCCAATGGGAACACTGGTTCTGGTGACCTGGAGGGGGCCTCAAAGAGATCCCCTTAACTTGAAGGGATTTCCTCTAATTTCTTTTGGCTATGGGGCGGGAAGAGAAGATAAATCTCCCCAATGGGACACAGAAGAAAAAAATTGACAGGGCCTCTCTTTCTCTATCTAAAATGGAAAAAAAGTTTTGCCTACAGTTCTACTTTAACCACTTCTAGCCAGGTGACGTACTGGTATGTCACCTGACGGAGTGGTTATACTGGGATGATGCCGGTAGCTGCCAGCATCATGCCGATATAGGGCTTCTTGGGCTCTCCCTTCCCACCAGAAGACATGAGTGTGCAGCCGGTGGTTCAGCCAGCTGACCATAGAGCTGATCGGAGACCAGAACGGCCCTGATCATCTCTATGGTTGGAGAAATCGAAAGCAGAAAGCATTTAGCCACTTCCGGTTTTGCTGGATGTAAACAGCAC